TCTTGCATTAAACTGTCTCTTATACACATATAGATGTGTATAAGAGACAGTATATATATATACAGACAATGCAGAAAGTATTGCATTTATTTTGTCTATGTTTTTGTCTTTGATTGAGGTAGGTGTCATTTCTGACAGAAAGATTAATTCACTGTTAATTCCGAGGAGTTGTTGACGGTTGTTGACGCTAAGTAGCATTTTTTTCATCTAAGTTTCAATGAAGCTGTACCAATATAGGACTAAATAATCGTTATCAACCGTCAGGCGCTGATCCAGGGAGCTCGGGGGTAGCCATAAAGGGGGACGAACTATACCGTAGGTCAACTTCAAAACAAATAAATGTACCATGTATATGGTCTCAAACATATCTAAAAAAAAAGCTGCTCAACAACACTGCCTCCCCTCTCCCCACTTGGTGCTTCGCACGTCGCATGACCACACCCAGATTTTCCCCCTGTTATATTCTATAAGGTGCCATTCCAACATTGAAAAAATAGGCTATTAACACTATAATATTTAATGTACAGGTAGGCCTACGACTATTGGATCACTTTTTCTTCGGGTCGTCTAAAATGGAGGTATTAATGAGATACATACATGATAGAACGTTTACATACAACAGTAACACTAGCTAGGACAGTACCACACTGGCAAACAGAATGTACTTTAAATATATACATCACGATATTCAATCACATGAAACGATATTTCTTTATTTATAATTTTGGTATACATTTCATTAATATTATGTAAACTAATATTTTACTCTTTTTACTATAAATACATTTTGGAAATTATGTAAAGCCTCGATTCGATGTCGAATTATGAAACGTGATAGGCTTGGCACCATTACCTCCGATGATTAGTCCCCAAAATTTATTTAAAAAATGTCGATATAATATTATCATTATTATATGTTTTTAATATAATAATTTTAGCCGTTCTAGGTTTCTTTCCTATTCTTCCTTCTTCCTGTTCCTTCAATATTTTATTTTGCATTCATTATTTATAATATACTAACAATCAATAAAAATAGGTACTAGAACACATATGCCTAGGCCTAGAACCTTCGTAACCCTTCTGTGCATAATTACACGCAATCTAATCAGTCAGTCAAACAATCAATCAATCAATCAATCATTTCAATCAAGCTGGTCCTGGTCACCATGACCACCACTGGATAGACTTTCTTCACATAGGCTTCTATGAATGGATGCCTTGTTGTGGAGCAGGAAATCAAGTTTTCCCCAGTACCATATCGACGGGTAATTTTTTGCGATACCTTGTGTGTAATAGATTTATATCTTCATTGAACAATGGTGAATTTGGATGAAATGTTACCTAAATTATATTGTAAGTCAAATCGTGACGTCATCAATGCAACTCCCAATGTTATTTTCCTATCCCCAACCGTACACTAATTTTGCATTAGTGCACAGTTTGCTTGAACGTTTTTCAGTTGGTGTGCAAAAAGGTGAATACAACTTGTACAGTATGTGATTTAGGCTAGTGTTTTCGCACACAACAACGCGTGCCTGCGGAAAGAGAGGGCAGACACCGTCTCAATCGTCGTTTGTTACAAGTGGTATTGAAAAATTACTTTCGTAAAACAAGGTTGATTAGAACCCGAATATCCTCCCTTAATTGCAGCAATATGCAAATAGCGTGTAATGACACATATGAATGGTCTTGCATTAATAGCATGGTTATCAATGAAAAGAAAACAGTTGAAAAGTTGATAAGTTGCAAACGGTTTAAAAGTAACCTTCCAGCTCTTATTATCAACAATGTTGAAATTGAAAAGGTTGACCAAACCAAACTTCTGGGTGTCATTATCAAAGACAATTTATCTTGGCAAAGTCATATTGACTATATATGTAAGAAATGTAATACAAGAATTTACTTTTTACAGCAACTCAGTAGGGCAGGATTAGAATTAAATGCCCTAAGTTACTTCTATTGTGCTATCATAAGATCGGTAATGGAGTATGCTTGCCCTCTTTGGTATACTGGTCTGACTCAAACCCAGAAAGATGCTCTCGAAAAAATACAAAAACGAGCTCTGGGCTGCATATTACCTGGAGTCTCCTATGGAGACGCACAAATTGCTCTGGACCTGCCCCGCCTTCAGGACCAATTGCTGGAGATGAGTAGGAGGTATTTTACTAAACTTAAATCCAATGAGCACCGACTGAACCACCTTCTACCACCACCAATTGAACACAAATACAACCTAAGACACAATAAAATATTTTCCATACCACACATGCGTACCAATAGATCTAAACAATTCATTATAAATCATGGATTATCTTATGAATGGTGATTCAGTCGGTGGTCTTTGTACATCACAGTGGTCACCATGGAAGGCTGGGTGGGCCCTAGCATCAGCCTCCCTATAGAAGGCCCCTGGTAGATTCCTGGTTGTTTTGCAGTTGCTCTGCTTTCGCTAGCCTTGGTAGATGATCTTATTTTTTTTTTTTTTTTTTTTTTTTTTAACCGTGTTATATTTTTTGATGGATTTTTAATGTGGGTCCTCTTTGTGTTTTTTTGCTTAACCGTGCAATAAATTTTATCTTTAAATTTTAAATTTGGTATTTGACTTCTGTAACTAATTCTTGATGTTTTTGCGATTCTCTTGGTTTTTTAATGTTTTTTATTGATGAGTTTGTAAATTTATGATTGTAAATTCAATCTATATTTTATATGATTGCAATAAAGACATTTGTATTTGTAAAGTTCCTGAAACTTCAATGTCTGCTTTACGAAATGTCTATCAAAATAGCATTACAAGTTCTTCAAACACAACCAAGTATTTTTTCATCGTATCCGTAATGATGTGTAACGTCGCTGTGTGTCAGCGCGTACTGCAGCAACAATCAATGATCATATCACTCAAAGCAAGCGATGACTGCTACAATAGTTGATTATCAAAACGGCGATAGGCTTATAAGGCAATTAGCATAGCTGCATATATCGTACTCTAGGGGAAAATTGTTATACTTGGTTATATTTAATGCAATCAAACATAATAAAATTCTTTCATTTTTAAATCTAACCTTCATATAATATTTTTCCGTTAGTGCACTATTTGCAGCTATCTAAAGGGTCATGCTTAGAGTAGCTTGCCAATTGTTTGCTACTTTCTATAATGTATAGTGTAATTGTACTAAAGTTGCTATGTACGATGATTCGTCACCTTCAATGGCGTGCGGATCGTTTTATGTTTACACTGGATTTCTCTTCATTGATACCGTAATTCATGTGTATCGATAATTCATTATAATATGAATAAGCCTACATTGAAACCTAGCACAAAGGGGGGAAAAATACTGTATTTGTTTATTCAAGGCTAACGTTTGAAGTTTTCAACATTTAAAAAAATCAACAAGCCGTTTTGGGGAAGAAATTGATTAATGCACGCAACATGGATAGTATGCATTTGGTTGTATACCTTTTCGTAATCTATATGTACGCAGAAACTACATCATGCCAACCTTCGGGTGCATGTAATGGCGGTGAGCAATCAGTTTGCAAATGTGAACATATTAAATCTGAGGTGAAGGTAAATTGTTCCGGTCGTGGGCTCACTCAGTTACCTGTTGGAATCCCCACAAACACAACACAACTGTAAGTAATTCACACCCTTTTCAATTTATTTCATTTACTGGCCATAAATACATATACAAATATAGTTGTCATGTGGCAGGATTGTCCAAAACTAAGATGGATTGTCCAAAACTGAGATGGATCTTAATATAAGATATTATAGAACAATTATAAGTATATATACACAAATTCAAATATTAAATATAAACAATGAAATAGAGAATTAAAAAAAAAACCAGAAATATAAACATTTAAAATAGAAAAATTAAAAATACATTTAAAAATACACCTAATAAAAAGATAAGTAGATGACAACAATATGTTTCAAATTATTAGTTCTTTGATAGTGACTAAAAAAACTCGTTTTTGAAAAGTTGTCAATTACTTCCTTTTGTCATGGTGGGGCAGCATAGGCGTTTCAGTTTTTCTATTATGATTGTTTTCTTTTAAAATAAGCGTATAATATAGATGCATATGCATTTTTAGATGCTGGTAATCATATTATTATTACTGTACTTCATACGTCGCATCACCACGATGCTTCTTTATTCTTAAATAGAGGTCAAGTCTAAACAAAACCCATTTTTAAAGTGTGTTCTAACATTTTCTATTTGATTGTAGTTATCTAGACCACAACAACCTAACAAACATCGTCGATGATGCGTTGCTTAGACTTCCTAGTTTGCATAAAATGTAAGTTTCGTGCATGTTTATCTGTATGTATGTATGTGTGTGTAGGTGTGTATATGTATATGTATGTATATTCGTGTATGTATGTATGTATGTATGTAAGTATATGTGGCAAAAACAAGCCTAAACCAGTCACTCGTCGTAATAAGTGTTTCAGAGATAATGGCCAAAACATGCTGAAATGTCAACATTTTTGAAATCTATTCTATTGCACTAAATTAACCTTATATATATAATATACATACATACATACATACATACATA